GCATGAGCCACTATGGCTGTAGATTTCTTGGGGGCTTTAATAGACCAGCATGTATCGTGATTTCCTAAGAAAGGTGATATACACTCTATTGCTGCCTTATTTAATTATAGAATGCTTTTTTGAGCATTACTTTAATTTGAGCACAGCTTGGGAAAATGGACAGGCACTTACCCTGTGTGCTGGGTATTTACTGGTTGTCCCGGGGCGTCTATTTCTCATGTTCCTCTTTCCCCAGACATATTTGGTAGTAAGTTATTTAATACCAGATTTGATTTGATAATCAGTTCAGTTTACAGCATTGGTTGATCAAGTTTTTTAAATGTATTCAAAATGTGTGATAATTGTATATCATATAATTATTATGATAAAAATACTCATTTGCTGCTTTAGTCTCATCTGTTCTCTTGATATCCTGGTGGCAGGAGGCATGGAAACTCTCAGTGCCTCCAGTGAGTTGGTGAGCTTTTGAATTGTTTTCCTTTAAAGTGTTATAACTTGTTACACCTCAAACACTATTTTCCTCTAATAATTCTGTTTCACTTTTACCTTTCTTACTACCTTTTACTCCTTTTGCCCTTCCTACTTTAAGCTCTTCCAACCTAGATCTTTGGTATTTTATTATTTGCTTGTTGCGTGAGATTAGTCATATTTAAATGTAAGAGATAAACATGGACATGTACTTCTGTTCTCCTTTATTTTGCCAGCTGTTGAATCAATTTACTATTTAGCAATCATTCCACCATGGGTTGGGTGTACTGGCTCACTCCCGTAATTCCAACACTTTGGGAGGATCCCTTGAACCCAGGAATTAAAGATCAGCCTGGGCAGCATAGCAACACCCTATTTCTACAAAGAAATGTTAAAAATTAATGAAGCATGGTGAGGCATGCTTGTAGTCCTAGCTACTCAAGAGGCTGAGGTGGGAGGATCAGTTGGGCCTAGGACTTCAAGGCTGCAGTGAGCCATAGTCATACAGCTGAACTCCAGCCTGAGTGACAGCACAAGACCCTGTCTCCAATAATAGTAATTACTATTATTCCACCACGTAACTTGTTCCATACATTCTTCATTCTGTTGTTGTTGTTCTACCCTCAAGCTTTCTGCCAAACTGTTGTGTTCTCTCCTTCACCTTCAGCTATACAAAGTATATTCAAGCTTAACAAAACCTTTGAAGCATAACCTTCTTCACTGAACTTTTTTATTTAGGAGGGTCAGTGGGAGGGAAATGTGGTTTTCCCTTTTGACCCTTCCTCTATCCAAACAGGCACATTTTAAGTTGGTTTCTTATCTCTAAATTCAAATGCGGCTTTATCATGTTCCATGTTTTGTATCTATAACTTTTGTATTCACTTTGTTAATTTTACCACAATTTTTTTAAAAATCTACTTTGTTCCCATCAGCTTTGTCTCTTTCAGAGTGAACATTAGGAGAGCAGGAACTGGATTTATCAGCTGTTTCTCTCAGCTCTTCCTGCTTTTTGTTGAAGGGAGAATACGGAAATGAAAGGAAGTAGAAATTCCATTCTAAAAAGTTTTGTGCTGATTCATAAATCTTAAATTATCCATGACATTGTACTAAGATGTGTTTCAGGCTGACTTGAAAGAGTGAGACATCCCTTCTGTCTGAGATATTACTTTTATGTAATGTGAGTGAAATTCAGGAAAGCCAAGAAGGAATGTAAAGAAAATAGTTTGCCTTATTTGATTATATTACTTAATCTAATATTCAAATATGTGAAGTTACATTTCTGCATTTCTGTTTTTAATAGTATTCTATTACATTCTGAACTAAATATTTACAGTCATTCTATGTCTGTGTACACAACATCAAAAACTATTTCCCTTGATTCGTTTTTTTAAGAGCCTGGTTATCACCATGTTACCTAGAATGGTCTCAAATTCCTGGGCTCAAGCCATCCACTTGCTTTGGCCTTCTTTAAAGTGCTGGATTCACAGGCACAAGCCACTGTCCTCCTGGAAATTTTCATAAATTGATCTGTAGTGTATATCTCTGGATGACGGGGGCATTTGAATAGTTTATTCATCAGCATGGTTTTTTCTACTGCCCTGAAACATTGAGAGCTGGCCTTGTATTTTAGGCTATACCAGTTAAATAATCTGAGAAGATCTCATTTTGGAATGTGGAAGTATTTGATGAGGAACATTACATGTTTTTGGTGACCCTACCATATTGCATGGTAATTCTTTCATCACAGGAACTGCAGTGTTCCCCCAACCACACCCCTTCCCACATCTCTTATGTAACCTTTAAACTGTTCTTTATGCCCTTGGCACAGTGTTGTTTCTTTCATTCTGTTCCTTGAATTATTGTGCTCACTTCATTACCGCTTAATCATTTCTTGAAAAAAAGTTTCTTTTTTTCTTTTTCATTATTCTGCTTGTTGGTTAATTCATTGTAAAATAGATAAATAAAGAAGATATCCAATGAGGACCTGTCCCTATTTTATCTGGAGTTTAGTGGAGAGAATCATGACCAGAGATTTGGAGGTAACAGCATAGAGATGATATTTAAAGCTGCAGATACCTATAGCATCACCAGACAGAGCACTGGTTACCATGCAGATTTCCAGCCAGTAACTTCATTATTCTGTCTTTGTTCAGCTGCACAGACAAATGTGATCAAACCCAGTTAACACACTGCTTTCCACAGTGATATTATTACTCTAGTGGACCCATGCTTCTGTCTCACTCTAATATACTCAATGCTCACATGCATCCTTATAGAAACAGCCTTTATACTCCCTTCCAGAAATATGAAAAATGGCAAGAGAGGTAAACCATAGACACCACTCTGTGATCACTGGCTTTTCACTGAACTCCACTACAGACCGAGTAGTCAGCAAAAAGAGAGGCAAGAGAAAATGAAGAAGCATGTGGTTATCACAGAGGTCAAGAAAAGAGAGTTTCAGGATGCAGGATGGGTTCAGGAGTGCAGATGCTTCACAGAGCCAGAATGACAAGGGTTTTTAGCAATCAAGAGATTCCCATAAGAGGTTCTGCTTTCAGCATTCTCTGGGACTTGATATTCTAAATAGCTGACCTACTGTGGTACAAATAGTCCCACCAGGAGATAGTTCCTGTTATTAAACAGCTTACGATCAGAATGGGAAGTATATAGGAAGGAGGCATGTTCCATGCATCCCCTGTCATCTTTTTCTTTGTCTGCGTCTCCCTGATACCACCTGGAGCTTACCTTGATGGAGGGACATGCTCAGAAGAGACTCCAGAAACACAGGGAGTGATTTAGAAGAGTGGAGGAAGGATTTCTTCTGGAAGAATGGTGGGTTACGTTGTGAGAAATCTTGAGTGATGAAAAGACTTTCAACTAATTGAATTGAACTCATTGAACTAAACTGTGGGCCCTCTAGATAGGATTAGTATTCTAGCTACATGGATCTACCACAGACTTAAAATAGTATCTAGAGCTGTAAAATTAAACGTGTAATAAGGAAAATTTTTATATAACCTGCTCTTTCAACAGATGGAGGTGACATGCTGTGAATTTGTATTGCTCTTCTGTTTAATTCTATTGCTTTTTACCATATTGGTACTTAGGCAGGTTTGCTGATATTTAAGAGAGTTGCTAATCATTGACAACATAGGTTTACTATTTCAGCCAACCCTAAGGAATTGATTTTAATGATCTGTCATCATATGGCACACAGTGATGGACAGTGTTATTTTTGACTGGCTAGTTTAATATGTGCAAAGCATGTATATTTCTATATATGCTAGTCAGTGCCCTAAGTTTATATTGTACCTCAGAGGGGTTTGATGCTATAAATAAGGATGGGAAAAGGGAGGGAGAGAGATGGAAACTGAGAGGGAGAAAAAAATAAAGAAAAAGGAAGGTCCTTATGACTGAAAAAAAATCTGTTATTTAACATAATTAATTGCCCATCTCGAACCTCGTCAGTTTTTACAGGCCACTAAACTGTGGCTTCTCTCTCCCATGTGCTCATCTGTATTTTGAAATGAAAAGAAAACATTGAATTGTTGTTATATAATGTAATGGGAGTCTTGAAATTTCTTTTGAATTGGTAAGAAATTTTTCTATTTAAAATAAGATTTTATAAACCCATTAAAAATATTGGAAGTATATGGGATGGTTTGGAAGAGAAATACTGATGGTGAAGACTGAGCATTTCCAAGACAGTTTTATTTCTTATATTTTACTGCCAGCTTTTAGTTTTCTCCTGTAATGGAAATAACGTCACATATCCTAAGAAAGACAGTTCTACAGTAAATTATTTTCTAAGACAAATGAAATGTGGCAAGAGTTTTTATCATGGTGGGATTGGTATGTTGTCCTTTTAGAGAATGAATGTTTGGGGAATGAAAGATGATTTATTTGGTTTTCTGTGAGGTTGTGGGAAATGTTGAAGCCACCCAGTTTTTATAAAAATCTACTTATTATTTATTGTATGTAGAATATTGAAATAATCAACTTTTTGGAAGATGAACAGGTGTTTGCATTGTGGTTCAGTTGATCGACTTTCCTTCCGTTTTATGAGGATCACTTCTTGAACCTCTGCTGTGGCCGCACGTGCTGTCCTTTGATATCCTTGGAAGCAATAGTTAGCACGTTTTGTCACTTGAAGGCTTATTGTTGAAAGAGAAACACGTAAAGTTCTGGAATATAAAGGGAATAATAGCAGTCTGACAGTAGAAGTATCTAGAAAGCTCAAAAGCCAGGTTTAATTAGGTAGCAGTGCAAAACTATTATCCCTTTTACAAAAGATGGTGAAGAGGAGTGCTAGTGAAAACAATTGGCATTTATATGAACAGCTGCACAGACCCAGCCAGCACGAGCCCAGCCAGAGCTCGCCTGGCCCTGCATTCTGCAGGCAGCATGCATTTTTTTTTTAAACACCCCTACATGTTCCAACCTTTAAATAGAAGCGAGTCTTCTAAAATGATGCCGTGTGCTGCAAGAGAAATGAAAGCGCCTGCCTTGGAGGCAGGAAGCCGACTAGGGAGATGCTTAATTATCGTGGAAGTAAGTGCTTGTTACCATTGAGTGGAGAGTGCAGCAAGTGCGGGTCGTCCTCGGGTGTCAGAGCCCTGATTTGTAGACAATGCCGCCCTGTCAGCTCAGTGCTGGTTCAGCAGCATCTTTCCAAACATGTATTTGGCAAGAATTTAAAGGCCACCTCTTGTGTAATTTGTGGAGTCTTGGAAAAGGAGCCTCTGCCTTTCTTTTCACAGTGTACGCAACCATGCAGAATTTTATACTCAGAATCTGTGCCTCCTGCCTCCTGCCTGACGTGCTCATGAGGAAGTTCGTTTCCATGCCTGTCACCTGGAAGGATGCTAACAGTTCTCTGTAATCTGTTGGGGATATGGAGAGGGCCACCCAGAGCTGTGTTTTGTTTCTGCCGTCTTCATAAATTAGCACTGATGGGGTGGAGTAGGTTGTACTGCATAAGGAAATGCAGGCATTTTGTTCATTAGTGAGATACTTCTAGCTTTTAAGAGTAGAAGAAACTAAAGAAAGCTTGAGAAGAGGTGGTGGTGATTGCTGGATTCATTCTGCAATATCCTCGACTCGGTAAGTAATAAAGCAGAGGAAAATACAGAAGAGTGCTAATAGATAGAATGGCTGTAGGAAAACCCTTTTTATTTTCTTTCTGCTATATTTGTTTTTGCCAACTATGTTAAGCCTTTGTTAAGGAACAAAAAAACATGTATTTATTTTGGAAGAGAGGAGTTAAAAAGTGATTGTTGCAGCATATGAATTTGATAAAGTCATTTTTCAGTTTTTACTTTTGTCAAAAAACTGTGTTGCTCTAATTATTCAGTTGGTTACATCTCAAACTTCTGGTCATCACAGTGGTTCATGGTATTCTACATTTTTAGAGGTCATTGGAGCAAAAGTCTGTACTTGGAGTAGGAGCCATGCTATCCTAGAACAAGATGTACCCCTCCCCGACCTCCCATTTTATGGAACTGTTCAATTAAGATGAAGTTTTAATAGTCTTTTTTTTTAAGAATATAAATCAAATGGTTTTTACTTTCTTCCTTTCTTTTAAACCTGCTTTGCTAAAAATATGAATTGTGGAACTGTGACTCCCAATCCATTATTGAGTCTTTTATTTTCATGTGTCTGGTTTTGACAATTGCATGTTTATTTTTAGATATATTTTTCTGCTAATTTAAATTATCCTTTTCTCTTTTAGAGAAAGCATGGGATTATGGCACCCACAGAATCTCAGTAATACAAGTTCCATTCAGTTTTTTCTGAAAGAAAGCCCTCTGTTAAAGTGAAGCAAAGAAACTGTTGTGGATTATAACCTTTAGAAGTTCCAAATTTTCAGTTGTTTACAAATGAAGCATCATTTAACCTTTTAAATGAAAAAGACTAAGATCTCTCGCAACCGTCGTATTTTCTGGAAGCCATTCTCCAAAAGGGAAGTGTGCACATTTAAAACACAGATATGATGGTCCTTTCTGCAGGGATTTAAGTCTGCTTGCTTTTACATCATGACCAGCTTGAAACGGTCACAGACAGAAAGGCCTCTTGCCACTGACAGGACCTCTGTTGTTGGCACAGATGGCACCCCCAAAGTCCACACTGATGATTTCTACATGCGGCGTTTCCGGTCCCAAAATGGCAGCTTAGGATCATCAGTTATGGCTCCTGTAGGACCTCCCCGAAGTGAAGGTTCTCACCATATAACCTCAACCCCCGGAGTCCCAAAGATGGGGGTAAGGGCAAGGATTGCAGATTGGCCCCCAAGAAAGGAAAACATAAAAGAATCTAGCCGTTCAAGCCAGGAAATAGAAACCTCAAGTTGCCTTGATAGCCTGTCCTCCAAAAGCAGTCCTGTGAGTCAGGGAAGTTCTGTTAGCCTCAATTCCAATGACTCAGCCATGCTGAAAAGCATACAGAACACGCTGAAAAACAAGACAAGACCATCGGAGAACATGGACTCCAGATTTCTCATGCCTGAAGCCTACCCCACCTCCCCCAGAAAAGCTCTTCGCAGAATACGGCAGCGAAGCAACAGTGATATCACCATAAGTGAACTTGATGTGGATAGCTTTGATGAATGTATCTCACCTACATACAAGACTGGACCATCCCTGCACAGGGAATATGGTAGCACATCTTCCATTGATAAACAGGGAACGTCCGGAGAAAGCTTTTTTGATTTGTTAAAGGGCTACAAAGATGACAAATCTGATCGAGGTCCAACTCCAACCAAGCTCAGTGACTTTCTCATTACTGGTGGTGGCAAGGGTTCTGGTTTCTCTTTGGACGTTATAGACGGGCCTATCTCACAGAGAGAGAACCTCAGGCTTTTTAAGGAAAGGGAAAAACCACTCAAGCGACGTTCAAAATCTGAAACTGGAGACTCATCTATTTTTCGTAAATTGCGCAATGCCAAAGGTGAAGAACTTGGGAAGTCATCAGATCTTGAAGATAACCGATCAGAAGACTCTGTCAGGCCCTGGACGTGTCCAAAGTGCTTTGCCCACTATGATGTCCAGAGTATACTATTTGATTTGAATGAGGCTATTATGAACAGGCACAATGTGATTAAGAGGAGAAACACCACCACTGGAGCTTCCGCAGCTGCCGTGGCATCCTTGGTCTCTGGCCCTCTGTCTCATTCAGCCAGTTTTAGCTCCCCAATGGGCAGCACGGAGGACCTGAATTCCAAAGGAAGCCTCAGCATGGACCAGGGAGATGATAAAAGCAATGAGCTTGTAATGAGCTGTCCATATTTTCGGAATGAGATAGGTGGAGAAGGGGAGAGGAAAATCAGCCTTTCAAAATCAAATTCTGGCTCCTTTAGTGGATGTGAAAGTGCCTCCTTTGAGTCTACCCTTAGTTCCCATTGCACAAATGCAGGAGTGGCAGTACTTGAAGTGCCCAAGGAGAACTTGGTGTTGCACCTAGATAGAGTGAAAAGATACATCGTGGAACACGTGGACCTGGGTGCATACTATTATAGAAAATTTTTCTACCAGAAGGGTAAGTACAGATCTTCTATTTCATATGTTTTCTTTTGCCATACTTTGTGAAGAAAAGTACTGTATATTAAGATTTTTATTAGCAATGTGATGTAAGATTTGCATGATTTCCTCATCTTTCTTGATGGTAAATAGCTAAAGAGCCATTCGCCGCAATTTATTTCTTTTTCCATTTTTTGAGTTACTTACCCCTTTCAGGTATATAAATGTCTTGTTTTTGAATAGTACTTTTAAAATTAAAAAGTCCCTTTGACTTAGTGTTTGAAATTATAGTCTTTGTTGTATAGTAGATTTGCTGTGTCACCTTTAGGGACAAATGTACAAAGTTGAAAATACTTGAAATATAGCTGTTTTTTAAGGATTGCACAACTAGTTTTAATGCTACTTTCATTTTTTAACACTTTCTCAGTAAGTACAGGAACCATTTTTTTTTTTTTTTTTGCTGCTTCGATGTCATCAGTAGATAGGAATTATAATATATTCCTGTCCATTTACAGGAAGTATTTTGAAAACAAATTACATTATTTGACAAAAGTCACAGAGCCAATAAGTCTCAGTGCCAAGAATCAAATCTAGGTCTTTGAGTAGTAAAGGCACAGAAGAGAGAAGTACCTTTGACATACTGTCCACTTCCTTTCTAGTCTTAATTCTTTGAGTGGGAGAATAAAAAATATATATAGAGAGAGATTATACTTTATACAGTTTTATCTCATACTTTTAAGAAAGACCACTGTGATTTACTGAAAAGTAAGTGGTCTAAGTGAACTCTTACAAGCTTTCTAATGGTGTTTTTGAGCAGCATTAATTACGGAATGAGTTTAAGTTATCCAGGTAGGCAAAGGAGGAAACAGGATGATCGCCCACAAAGGACATACCTCTGTGTTCCACTAGGTAGATCAGTCATCTCTGCAGCCAAGTGAAGAGGCCTGTGGCGAGTGGCTCCCTGTCTGCAAACTACTCCTGCAGTGTTTTGATTTCCACTGTTTTAGGGATTTGAATGGTATTTAAATGTATTCTTCTGAGTGAAGTTTAGTTTCAAATCTGGTACTCATAACTTTATAATAATTGCTTTATAAAACATATCTTAATATTACTACATCATAGACCTCATTCCAGAAGGTTTATTGACAGGAAACAATCTTGTCTTGTGACTAAATATCCGTGTCTCATTCCTATGTATCCATGGCACGGTTTCTGGAATCAATATTGTATTGAATATCCCAATGTCGTTTTTAAACATTTATTTTCTCAATAATTTTCTGAAGTTCATATTTTAGAAAATACATCTCTCTTATACTGTCCTTTAAGGTACAAGTTTTTGCCAACTTGGCATTTGGGGGTGAGATGATTCTTTGTTGGGGTGGGGTGGAGTGGGGGACTGTCCTGTGCATCATAGGATACAGGATGCTTAGCAGCATCCCTGGCTTCCACACCCTAAATGCCAGCAGGTTTTCCTCCTCCCTCTAGTTGTGACAGCCTAAATGTCTCCAGTCATTGCCAAGTGTCTCTTAGGAGGTAAACCAACACCTAGCTGAGAACCCCTGCTTTAATGTACCCGCACAAATTTTCTGCAGGTGTTTCTGAACTGTTGATGGGTGGAGGCAAAACAGCCTCCACCCAAAAAACTGACACTGAATCAAACATACCGGTTATAATCTAATTTATATAGTAATGGGTACTTTTTTCATATTAGGCAGTATAATAACATTATTATACTAATGAACATTTTGGGCACTTATTATGTACCAAGCACTGTGCTAGGCATTTGCTATGCCACATTTTCTCATTTCAACCTCTTGATGCCCAGGAGGGTAAGTACTATTATTAACCTTATTTTCCAGTTGAGAAAACTGGGGCTTAAGTGATAGGCTGTCTTGGAGCTAGCAAATGTTGGAGCCCAGCTATCTGAGCAGTCATGTTGTTAATCACTGTTCTCTGATCCCTGCTATGTTAAAGAGATGGAGTATCTTAAAGTATTTTATCTTCGAAAGGTCTAGAATAAAAATGTGAATGCCTAGATTTCAGATTAATCCTGTTTATTCATAATAACCTCATAAATCTAATAGCCACTAATCCAGTAGTTACTAATTAGAAGCCTGGAAAACACCCTCTTTCCTAGCATAATTGGAACTAATGAATTGAAAATATCAACTAAAGCAGGGAATTGTTAAAAAGTATACATTCGAACTGTTTTATTGTCATTAAAACATAAAAATATGTTTGCCAAACTCTTGTGAGGCCAAGGGCTTTTCTTTGACGATTCTACTCTTTTAAATTCTATGTTGTATTAATAGGCTAAACCATAAGAGTGAAAACGTAGAGACTAATGACAGAATCTAAGTACAAAATCTTAGATTTTACAATTTCTTTCTCATTTTTTTGTAGCTGTCCTGCCCACATTTAACTAACAGCTTTCTTTTTAATGACTTGCCTTTATTGTCTGTATAAAAACTTAGTTTTTATGGGAACAACATTTATCTTTGTACTACTTTATCAGCTCTCATAATAATTAAATTTTATAATTAAAATAGCAAGTCAGTTGGTATAAACAGGTTTGGAAAGACATAGCCCAGTCTAGTGGGAGCAGAAAGTATGTATGGCACTAGGGATTGCCTGTTAGACTGCTAGTGCCATTGGGTATTCATCAGTATGGTTTGCAGAGGGAATGATGAGCAGTGGTTAATCCAGGAAGTTGTCCAGTGGAAGTCAGTTACACAGAGCACCTACTGTAATAGCTTTTCTTGGGCCATACAACTTAGAATTTTCAAGTCAGACAGGCAGTTTGTTATAATATGATAATATACCAGAAATAATAGCTCTGGATAACAAAATTTGAAGCAAAAATTAAGCTCCGTAAAGTATAAACTGTACATTTTTAAAAACTGCTACTTATATTTTTATATAGCTTAAAACATACCTAAACAAACAACTCTGTTCTTATAATAGACAACTTCGATTCACCGAAATTAGCAGACGAATTCATTTTTCCTAATCAGAACGTTAAAGCAAGTCTTCTTGTTGAAGGAGTACATCTGTGTCAGATATAATTTATCCTCTAGCACCAAGGTGTGGCACTGCTGACCTGGCTGTCACTCAGCCTCTTATCATCACGTAGTTTCCATTTGGCTGCTTAATGCATTCCTGACTTCATTGTGGCTAAGTCTCGGGCAGGGAGGGGATGGAGGGAGAATACCTTACTAAAGTATGCTATACAGCCGATATTATATGTAAAATTTAATCATATTTTGCTGAAGAAGCTATCATCACTTTTAATTATTATGTTGTTTTTTAAACATTATGTTACAAATTTAGACTTCAGAGGATATTTGACTCCATATAAGCCAGGCGCATTTCTGGAAAGATGCTGGATCAATAGAGGAATCCCGTTGTTTGTGCTTATTAAAATAAGCAACATGCCATCGATGCTTTTCTTTCTAGTCCTTTCTCATGCCCACTTCTCTTTGTCATTTTGCTAGTGACGGTGTGGTTATATTGAGACCCAGGATTAAATATAATCCTGTAATATAATATATAAAATATAATCCCATAATATAATATGAAATATAACCCAGTAATAATTTAGCTAACATTTATTGCATTACTTCTTGGTATTTTATTTGGAGTTCCTCACTTAATGCCCACTGGACCCCAGGGTGAACCTGTCATGGTGATAGAAGTCCAAGTGATACAGCCACATCCTCCTAGGGAGGCACAAAGTAGGCAGTAGCTCTGCATTCAGATTAACCTGAATTACTTATCTTCCTTTGAGTAGGTGTATGTTTTGTGTTTTTATTTTATTATTATTATTATTATTATTGAGATGAGGTCTCGCTCTGTCACCTAGGTTGGAGTGCAGTGGCACAGTCTTGGCTCACTGCAGCCTTTGCCTCCTGAATTCAAGTGATTCTCGTGCCTCAGCCTCCCAAGTAGCTGGGATTACAGTTGGGCACTACCATGCCCAGCTAATATTTGTGTTTTTAATAGAGACAGGGTTTCATGATGTTGGCTAGGCTGATCTCAAACTCCTGGCCTCAAGTGATCCGCTTGCCTTGACCTCCCAAAGTTCTGGTATCACAAGTGTGAGCCACTGTGCCTGGCTTGTGTTTTTATTTAGATAAAAGGGTACCATGATCAGAGTACTAAGGAAATTTGTAAGTGGAAAATACTAAGTTATAGAATAATTATGATGTTGCCTATATCCTGCATAGCTTGTTGAGGAGGAGACCCTTTCCAAGCCATTACTCACCTTGGTTTCTGTGACCACACAGGACTTCTTCAATGTTACACTGAGCATATAATAGTCTGTGAAGTATGTTCTCCTTGAATCTTACACAGAGGAATGCATTAATGAAGACAGAGGAGCCCATGGGCTCTTGACAGTGGCATTTGTTGCTCCACTGATCAACAGTGTTGATAGTCTTATCTGTATGGTAGGTGAAGTGTTACTCTCAAAGTCAAGTTACTAAAGGTGCTGTAATAGGGAAGGGCCTCCCTCTACTGCACACTGTGCAGGAGAAACACAGTATCTGGGTCTGAAGCACATCTAAGAATATTTTCCCATTCCCTAAAAGAGGGGAAACTAATGCTTATGCACCTAAGTATTCTTTGGATAACTGTAAGCTACCAGATTTGATTGTTCTTACTGTTCACCTTCCTCCTCCTCCATCCCAAAACACACACAAATCAGTTTGAACGGTGATTGAGGAGACAAGGCATATTTCAGTTGCTGTTTTTATCTTTACCTCTCACTCTCTTGTAATCAGCCATCTTTAACATGGTTTCTTTAGAATACCACACTTCATTTGTACTAAAGTTGCAGCTTTAGGACTCTCATATACTCTCAATTTTGCTATCAAGAGCTGTTCTTCAAATTCTAGTGTGTCTAATAAGCATCATAAATAGCTGTTATAAATTTTAGTGAGTTATTTTATAATGCATATAGAATATCGGAATATGATTAGCTAAGTATATTTCTAAAAATATGTGCTTATTTTGTTCAGG